AGGCATCTAGAACGGCATTTTAAAAATAATTCCACACTTTAAAGCATTCCACACTTCTCTGTTCAGCTGAGGTTTAGGCTGCTAGACCATAATTCCCAGCCTAAATATGAATCAGCTGATTCCATTTCAGCCTTGATATTATTGATTAGCTGTAGTCACTTTTGGTTTAGACCAACATTATTCTTAATGATTTCCAGGACATGACCAATAAATTTAAGACATCAATAAACAAATATTTCCTCAGCGTTTTTCAGGTACAGGTGACATGTCCAGCAGTTAAGTAGCTTTAGCCACCAAATAAATGAGTAAGATATAGTTGATTCTTTCCTAACCCGCTGCCCTCCAAATACTACTGTAACTCCTGCCTTCTCAAGCATTGTCAACAAACCTGGTCAAGTCCTAGACTAAAATATCAGAATAGAGAAAGTTGGTCTAGCTAAATTCTTGGATTCTACCCATCCAACAACTACAGTAAGTCTGGGTATCCTAGCAATCCATAATCGTTGCTGGTGTCAGCATGCTATTGTCCATATTGACAGCTAGAACAGGCTGAGCAATCCTCTCTAGTGAGCCTTGTAGACATTTACTAGAATTGCACATATGCCATGCCTACAGCAATCATGCCATCTTCAGATGATCAAGTGCAAAGAGGTGGCAGGAAGGAGAAAGGCAAAAACAGTAAGTGATTCCAGCAAACCCCTTAGGTGCCCATTCTTACTATAAAGCTTTGTTTTTATCAAAAGCTAGCTTTGGGTTAGTCTGGACTGAGGTACCTTCCCACTTTATGCACTCTAATAGATGCCTTCTAGCATTGCTGGCCTGCTCTCCCTGCACAAAGAATCCATGACTCAAGGGGCCAAGAAGATTCCATTTGGTCCTATCAGACTGCTGTCTTAGGCTTGGTTCTTCCATCTAAGCTGCCCTTCATTGTCCATCTTCACTTGACAGTCTGCTTGCCTCCACGTCCATCCTGCCTAGGCCATATACATAGGACCCGTGAAAGCAGAGGGGCCGGGGGCAGAAATCAATACCAAAGATGCCTGGGGGATCCTTCCAGACATGAGCTGGAAAAGTGTCTGCAGAGGATCGTTGGAGGCCAATGTGCTTGTGAACCTGCAACAGGACAGAATAAAGCATTTTTATCAGGCTTGGCAAATATGGACATTAAAAAACAATAGGCTGACATGAAGATGTGGCAATGCATTCTACCCACCCACTCAGGACCCAGCTGTAAGTCCTTGGATTCATCTTGCTTGATAGAAAGAGTGCATGGCCCCACAGCTGGTTTCTCATAGCCCAGTCCAGGGCTTCCTGTGAGCAAGCAAACCATAATCAAAAGTCAGCTCTTGACATCCACCAACTCCACCCTACCCCATCCCATACTGTCATCCTCCAGTATGATTAGTAGTCAAAGTTCAGGGCAGGTGAGAGCTAGCCTAGATTTCAGTGGCCCCCATTTTGTCCCATAGACAGGGTAGTGCTCTGTCTAAGTATCTATAATGGATATGAGAATCAAGAAAAGCATTGGGAAACATTATTATCCTAATATTATATTTCACAAAAACCAATAGGTATCAGAGGTATTAAGCAGAGAGGTCAGCAACTTGAGATTCTTTAAGACCCGAAAGAGTGAACCTGTGGACTTTTTGCATGCAAAGCAGGTTGTCTGCTACCCTTTAGGGGTTGGCAACTTCTAGATGTTTCAAACCAACTAGCAAGCATAGCCAGTGGCAAGAGACTGTGTAAACTGTAACCCTAAACATGTAAAAGACATCAAGCTGTCACTTCTGAACCAATATAATCATTTGCCTAAGTATTCATATTATAATTTAGGGTTTTTTTTTACTGTTTTTCCTCATGAAGGAGCCCGGAGAGCTATACAAAAAATAATAAAAACATTCTTCCATGAAAATAATTTGACAAAAGTAAATAATAATAAAACAAACTTCCATAAAGCAAGACAATAAAACCAGTGGAGTACAACAATTTAAAATAGAGTTTAATTAAAAGACAGTCTAATAGTGTTGTACTTCTCAATAAAAGCAATATATTTCTCCACTGAAATATATTGTGTCTGGTTTGCATTCTCACTGCATTTCTCATGCGGAAATGAAATTGTGGATTCACAGACATATGAGTAATCATTTGAGGTTATAATGATGTGAGTGTGATCCAAGGCTCTGTACACATAATCCCATCAGAAAGCAAATGTGGAAATGTAGCCCTTACTTTCTTTCTGCCATAGAAAAGGAGCTTGGTGAACTTCCCTATTATTTGCTCTGGTGTGCCAGCATTTGGGACAATTTCCCCTGTGAGAAGGTCCATGGTACCACAGCCAGGCACTGGCCATTCTTCATCGGTCAGGTTGATCAGGTTCACCCGTGGCTCTTGTCTTTTGTACTTTTCTTGGTATTTACAATTTTGCATCAGCAGCTCAGCTGTATCTGACCCCACCATGGACTGCAAAGGGAAGGGAGAAAACGGCACGTGTTAGATGGGTGGGCTGTAACATTTTACTTTGCTGGATAATAAGCACCTCAAATTCATGAAAACCTGATTCAAGAACTGATTTCCCACTCTTCAAATCTGTATTTCAGGTTAACTCACGTACTTTACTGCTAGAATTTGAGATTTTAGAACATAGTCTTAATGTCTGCCAGAAGCTACCTCAGAAGATTTGGAAAGGGTTGAGGAACCCCTTCACTGGTGGAGAGAAGCTTCACCAGGGGGGCAGCCCACAAGCTCTGGTTGATTTCCATTCATTTACAAAAACCTCTGCAGGCACAAGACTGACCAAAGTCTTTCCAACAGCAATAAGGGGCCACTGGCACTACTGGGGGAAACAAGGGTAAGGGAAGAAATCAAGGCTGTTCTTGAATCCAAGGACCCCATGACCAGTAACTATGTCAGGTTGGAAATGATATAATAAGCCCACCCACCCAAGAAGGAATTAAAATACTGCAGGTCTGCAGAGCATATTCAGTTACAGGAACAACCTCCCTACCCCCACCCCCAAGAATACAGACTCATCCCACCCCGACTGGACTGAATACATCATTTGCCACAGCCAATCCACCCAGGAATGCCTTCCTTTATACCTACTCCATTCTGTCGGCAAAGGAGGAGGAGGAGTTTCCAAAGCAAGGCCGAATCTCGGCCCTGCTTAGAGGTCAGGTCACAGCCAGTGGCTGCTTTGCGCTGACAGAATGTCACCACATCCACCTTGTGCAGATCTTCCCTGAAAGAGAAGAAAAGAAGGCCACAACGATAATATAATTAAATCTCAGGAGAGATTTAATGCATCTGTGTAATATTTGTGCCATTTTGTATAAGCAGTTCACGGGAAAGCAAAGACACGTCCCAGATAGCCATGTGTCACGTTCCCTAGAGATCAACTATAGAACACCCAGTTTTCAGTTAACCCCCCTCTTTCCCTCCAGCTTTTTCTGCCTCATTCTCTCCACATTCATACATCAAACTGCCATTTGCCATTTTGTGTGCCTCCTCCAGAACTGTCACCCTCTTTGATGAGTATTTCACTCCCAAAGCTGGAGAGCGATTCCCAGCTATTAGGAGACCATTTCCTGTCACCATTCCCCTTTGATGAAATGTCAGCCAGCCATTCTGGACCATTAGCCAGCAATTACATACTTTAGAAAGGCTGCTCTGCCAGCTCCCATAACAGGAACTTTCTGGCAAGCCAGCAATCTATCCAGCATCTAGAGAGCAAAAGTAAGCCTTATCACTTTGACCTAGCTGCAGAAGTTGGTGGTCCAAGTAATCACATTCTCCATCAAATAATCAAGAAATATGTACAGATCTCTCTCCTTCTCCTCCTTTCTCCCCTTTCAGTCTTCTGCCACATAACTGAAGCAGGTGGATTACTGTGCAATACTTCTGTAATCCTCAGCATATTAAAAACATCTCCAAATCGTGCCAAATAGATATCAGATTCTGTCCTGAGAAAATGCCTGAACAAAAGGCCCCCTTAAGGTATGCAATGCCTGAAGCAGAAAATCCCAGTGGCATCCTTTGTTAGTCGCCATGTATCACGAGGCAGACTTTGTCAGGATGAACAAGGACTGTATAACCATACTATCATCTTAACCACCCTTTTAGCCTTCAGGAGAGCATTTCCCCCAAGCGCTGATATAGGGTGAGGTTAGAATGGGATGAGAACGTTGGGAGTTGCGTCAAGGAAGGGTGGTTGCAGCACCTGGTATTGGGTTTTACTTTTTGTTTTTATTGCTGCACATATTGTTTTGTTTTGGGCTTGTAAGCCACCCAGAGTTTGGCTTTAAGATAGGTAGCTATATAAATGTTTTAAATAAAATAGTCTTGTATGGCATCCATTTCTTATTAAGGACCTGACACAGGAGAACTTCCTAAATTTTCCCCTAGATTAGATTCACCTACTTCTATTTTGTTACCCTTAGTCCAAACTTTGCCATTATGTGGATGGTGTTTTAAAGGACAAGGGCAAACCTATTCTCCTCTACGGTCTTGTACCTGATCAGAGGTCCTGGAAAGATTCTCATTGTTTCCTGCTCAGCAGTGTCATGTAGAATAATCTGTAAAACAGAAGCAGGTTCAAAGGCCTGGCTCACTAATTACAGTATGGCAGAATTGTCAATAAACTACAATGGCCTCGCTCACTCATAAAGGGTGGATTTACAGCTCACACTAAGCCAAAACAAAGAAACTATTATGTTCACAGGTAGGTTTCCAATCATAATTGCCTACACTCATTAAGCCAAGCTATGGTGTAGGCAGTGTGCTACAATATACTGGTTTTAGCCAGCAGAAAGTATACGCCCTTTGCGTACCTGCTTGTGCTGCTCTGGTTCCCTTTCTGTGGCATACTGAAATCTGACTCTATTGGTTTCTAAATGTTCAAAGAACTTTATATTTATTATATCAATCTCTTTGATCTGAAAGGGTGTCAGAGTCTGTCTGACAGTAAATCTAAACTGAGCCCAAAAGCCACCAGTTGAGACCTCTGAGTTTATCTTTGGAGAGGGGAAATTTAGAATCATGCTCTTCCTAACTCACAGTGCAGTCCCTTAACTACAGTTCACCTGGATCTCTGCGGCCAAGTGGGTTACAAAATACAGTTTGCAATATAGACTTTATTTGCCCACAGAACCTCTGCACTCTCCTTCTTTCAGAGCATTTAGTATTTAAGCTGAATGTTGAAAAGCACGTTGGATGTGTTTGCCAAATGGTTAGAAATGGAGGGTGTCTTGAGAAGGCTTTATAACAACATGCTACCAGGACACAAAGTGCTTGTAGAAGAAAATACACTTAATAGAACATGCTCTTTTTTATTGGGACCAAATATAATCTAGGTAAATCAGGGAAGGAAGTAAAGCCAAGGAATAAGAGACAAAGAGCAATCAAACAGTGCCACAGTTCTGATCCCATGTAAGCAGATATGTAATATCATACCTTATTACCAAGGGGCAACTAGATGCTTACCTCAAGGCTATGTATCTCAACAAGGGCAGGTTGTCCATCTGCTGGATCATTTGGACATCCTCGAACCAGCTGCCCTCCAGCTCCAAAACACAGAGGTACATGAGGGAGGGTAAATTTTGGGGAGGCCACATGGTTAGACATAGCTTGGACGTCTTCTGCTATAAAACAAGTAGAGAGACGTTTTACTGGTATACAAATGGCCTGGATGATGACCTACAAATAGAAATATCCCCACATCTGCTCTGCAAACCATGTCCCTGCCTCTGCCTATTCAGAAGTCAAATAGGGTGGACAAGAAACTGATAGATTATCAAGCTGGATTCTAGTCCAGATTCTTTGAAATGTGGTGTTGGTTTATGTGTGGTTATTATGGACTAATGATGAATTCATGAATTTATTGTACTGTAATACTACTGTGCATGTTTTACTGTATATAATGTATCACAGAGATTTTGCTGTGTTTTATATTGTTACTGTGGACATTTTAATGTGACATTTACAAGCTGCCATGAGTCTATATGGATCTGGTAGCATACAAATTCAATCAGTCACTATTTGCCAGGTATCCAGTTTTTTCATTACAGAGGAATGAGAGCACATCCTTTCCTTCTGACGTGTCCTTAAAATTAGGTACAACAGAACAGCTCCATATGGAAGTATGTGCATTAGTCCATTTATTTCAATGACGTTTTTCTCTCAAAACTGAAAAGGAGGGTGGTAATATGATTAAGATGTTTATGCATCCCTGCCTCAAATGCAATACCCACCTCCTGTCGGCCCCTAGTCACACAGAGACTATGGAGATCTAATAGGTACTGAATAGAGCCTTTGTTTCATCTATTTCCTAACAGAATTGCTCAAAGCTGCACTAGAGCAATGGCCGTAGTTCCATGCATTGAAACACATAAGTACATACATTTTGTAGAAAGAGCCTGGGAGAAATGTGCTTTTAAAAGTCAAGAGTATGTGACTGTGAAGTGCAAAACATTATTCCTGCCAGTGGCTCATCACCCCATAGCCAATCCAGACTGCAGAAATCCAGATGATCGTTAGATGATAACCAAAAAAAAAAAAAGTTCTAACTCTTGGCTGCCATCTAATGGTCATCCAGATTCTTGTAGTTCAGATCTGGCAGCCCTGTCTATAGCTTCTCTCACTTAGACCTTTTCTCTTCAGCTGCACTTTGATGTGGCTTTGCTTGGGAGAAAAGCACATGGGAAGAGAAACTACAAGGAAGGAAGCTACTGGAAGCTGATGTCTGGAATCTCTGCTTCTATATAGCTACTTGGCTTTTAAATGTGAGCATCACTTCTCCTTTTATGTGGCTGGAACCATTCCATCTTTAAAATCACAAAGCTGTTGCCATCAAGCCTAATCTAGCTATGAATGTCTAGTCAATACTCTTAAAAACCTAATCTAAAGGGAAATCTAGGGCAGACAACAGGAGTATATTGTTTATTCAATATTTTCTACTCAGCATCTTCAGCCAAACCCTCCTAGAGTAAACTTTCAAATGTTAACAATAATGAACATAACAAAAATAATACTAGGATTTTTTTAAAGGTATTATTCGGAGGGTAGGAATAACAGCAATAAAGCTTGACTGATTTTTTAAAAAGGTTTTTAGGAACAACGTAAAGTGGGGAAGGGGAATAGAGATAACTCAGAACTACTACATAAATGTGGAGCAAATACCAAAAGAAAAAAGAAAAAAACCCAAGTCCTTCAGACCATCCAGCCTGTCCTTTTGGCAGACCATAAAACAGGCCCTTTCTCTCCAATCTTAGCATCCCATGCCCTTCAAATGAAAATGAGCCAAATTAGTTCTAGTATTGCAACAATAAATTAACGGCCATGTTATTCTGACAAAGATTTTCATTGACAGGTCTATTCAGACCTTCCATATACACAGAACCTCTCTCCCTCTCTGCAGAACAAACTGCTATGAAATTATTCCAGCTTTTTAGCCCAATCCAGTGCCAGCATTAAAGTTTAGGGGAATCCTCAGATGGTTCTCTTGAACCAAATGAGAATTTTTTCATACTCTACCCATGAGTTTCACCATGGATCTATCCAGTCTTCAGGCTTCGACAAATATTCAGCCTTGTTACCCTGACTCTACATGTTAACCTTGTTGAATAACTCACCTAACTGAATTGGGTTCCAATCCTTGGACAGAGTTGCTTCATAGTGGTTGGAGGAATTTTCCATATAGTGCCTAAGCTCATAACTGCTGGAACTGAGGCCAGATTCCTTATACTGTTGGAGGGGGATTGGCCCCTCAGGCAATGAAAGCTACATGGGGAAACACAGAGGAAATACATGGGAGAGAATGCTAGCCTGAATCAAAACAAAACACAATAATCTATAACTTATTTCCCAAGGAATCTTACTGTTGGAGAAAAAAATAGGAAATTCCAAGGTCTAGACCTCTTTCCTCCCACCAATTGCTGACACTAAACAATTCCAGGCTAAACAGTCAGCAAGAATGAGATTAGGTACCTCATGGGCTGGAACAGTGGCATTCTCCAAAATGTTCTCTTGGAATTCATCCCAAGTTTGTCCTAGCAGCAAAGGAGAACGGTAGCTGATATCATAGGAAGTGTCTTTCTTTGAAGCATAGCTTTCTTCATAGGAATCCTGCTTCTTAGATCTGGAGGAAAAAAATTAAAAAGAAAAAGATTGAGCTGTAGCAAATTTATATGTCTGTCTCCTTGCAAGGCACATAAACACCATGATAAGTATAGTACATAAATTGAAAGTCATGCTGTGTATTTACTGTTCCCTACTAGGCTCTAATATTTCAGAATTTTGACCCAGTTTCCTCATGATGTGTACATAGCAAACTGTGTAAGACAAATGTCTCACTTAGATCTTTCTCACCTCAGAACAAGGCTAAGGCTAGTGCCAGGTGAGAGGGGGTCACAGTTTCCCTTTGTTGATAATGCCCCCCTCCCCAAAACTTACTGCAGGACTACCAATTCTGAGCTACAAATGTCTACAGGAGGTGCAGTTTTCTGTACCTCTGTCCTGCCATCTAGCAGTTTTCCCTATTTTTGCAACCCAGACCTGGTAGACTTATTACTTGACATTGGCAGCAGTGTATTGTCGTTGTCATTATCATCATCATCATCATCATCATCATCA